ATAAATCTCTCTCTCATCAAAATACACCCAAAATGGAATGGGCTAGCCCCTTCTTGCCTCGGTTGATCGTTATCGCTTGTAGGAAAGGGTGAACCTGCCTGAGTCAAGTGTTGGCCCCACACCAGTTGCTCGCGCCATCATCGCCATCATCCCTGTTGATACTATGCTCTCTCTGCCAGCGCATTTCGATTCCAAAGCAATAGCTCGGCGAACACTGCACATTACAAATAGTATTATGGCTGAGGTACAGGGGCATTTAGTACTTCACCAAGAGCAAGCCCACAATTACTAGTAGAACTATGAGCAGCTGCAACATTGGCATTAGAGGATGGGTATATTAATATATATAAGTACCCCCACGTATTCAAGTTTTGTGTAGAGACGACAGCTCCTCTGAACATGGTCGAGTGTTGAACTAGGAACTGGGAATCGCATGCAGGCTTATACCTGCGCCAAGGGCTAGCAACACATCTTCTATTCTGGTAGTTATTTTTCAGGCGCGAAGACGAGAAATTATACGCATTAAGGGTATGTGAAGAAGGTATGAAGATGCACGTGAGCTACGCAGAACAGAGGCCACGGTTCTGATATAAAGTGCACCTAGCAGCAAAGAGGGACAGTGGCCTTAGGACTAGCTACTACTATTGTATAGAAATTCAATGTTACTGGGACCATTATATATTCTACACCAGCAAAAGTAGACTGGCGCTCTGGTACTAGTAGACAGTCACTATGGTGCGCATCTCATACCGCAACAGAATTATGGACAGATCAGATAGGTCCAGTAAGCTTATTGAGCTGATATTGACTAGAGCTTGCCAGAGCATGCGATCAGGTCCCTTGCTGAGCTGATGTTCTATCAATTGCTTGGATGGTAGAGAACATCATAATGGCTGAAGTTTAGAAACATCGACGGAGAGCTGAGAAAGTAGATCGCCTTAAAGGAAATCAGCATGCATTAAATGCAGTAAATGTATGAAATTTGTTTCCCTCGAATACTCTGTCTATAAACTGCTTACATCTCTGGATTAGAAATGGTGGTGTAGTAGATTCTGAGTCGCCAAGTTCGACGAGGGTAAGGTTCTAGGTTTGACTATTTGACCCAGTTCGGCATAATACTGATGGCCTATAACTATTGCAAGATATTTAGATATTAGTAATAAACAGTGATAAAATATGAAATATTAACTATGTTCTGTTAGTCAATGGAAAGTGGTGTAACTATCTGCTGGCAAAGATGAGAGTGGTCTCCCCGGTAAGGTAAACAATACCCGTCAGGCCATAATAGCTGGCTACTATTGATGCTCCACTCTCCGCGGTGTCAGTCACTCCCTCCAAAACGTCACTTCGCCAGCTTCACCTCCCCCCAACCACTCTGTCTCATCCATCTCCCGCCATGGCTTGCTAGTTTTCCATCTTTTCTTCTTCTCGGCCTTAATTCATCCCGGTCGTTATTTTCCTTCTTTATGTGGTTGTGCCAATAGCCATCTCTGCCTTAACCCCCACTGAAGGAAAGGGTCTTTGCTTCACAGTGTCCTAGGAGCCCTAGCCACCACAAGCCTTGCTTCCCTACCGGAGCACCTGGGTCCAACCTATCCTTGTCGCCCTTTTGTCTGAACGGAGGGGCCTCAAGGAGGCTTGAGAAACTAAGCTAGGCAAATTTCCCAGCGAACCCATGGCGAGGGACACCGCGCAAACTCCGATCATCCCTCGTCCCCGGCTGCTTCAGGGCGCCGCCAGTTATCCCTCCGACCTCACCGCCCCCTCGCTGTCTGCGCCCTTCAAGCTTGACGAGGGTTATTCCGATGAAACGAGAAGTCAGCCCGACAAGGACTTCCTGAATTCGCCCCCCGATGATGTGATGCCGCTCCCCGACTGGGTTAATGCTTATAATGAGGCTGAGCGAGCTGGTGAGTTAAGCCCCCCTTCCCTTGGTTCCGTCCGGCGCAAGGATCCTCTTCCGTTTGGCTTCTTAGCGCGATCATCATCATACTGACAGGTTGTGGTGTTTCATGTAGAGCTCGCCTACAAGCTTCTACGCACCTTGCGTGCTTCCACTGTCGCCTCGGTGGTTGAAAAGCTAGCACCTCTATTGCACATGGATCCCGTGCTAAAGTTACCTCCGGAAATCACCGCCGAGATCTTCTCCTACCTCGACCCTCAAACATTGGTAACAGCTTCGTTGGCATCCCGCTCCTGGCGTGATCGCATTTTTGACACCCGTCTTTGGAGAGATTTGTACATCAGCGAAGGCTGGCGGGTCGACATTGACGCCGTGCATACGTACGAACAGGAACACTCGGGCTTGGAATCCCCCCAACTCCGAAAATCTCGGTTGAGGCATATAGACCCGGATCTCGGTGAACCGAAACAGAAGAAGCGCGTACCCCCCAGCTGGCTAGACTCTCGCGCGACAGGATCGCTGGATAACAATGAGGCCGAACACGGAAATGGGCTGCAGCCTTCCGCAGCGGCAGATGTTGAGGGTGATCATCACATGAGTGATGCGTCAAACGATCGTGGACCGGTGTTCGCAGTTGGGCAACAATCATCGAGCGCACGTCATGAGTCGTCGGGAACTGCGCAACTGAAGTCAAACTTACAGCAGATTTCGACGAACGCTAGCGCCCTTAAGTCATCACTATTGATTCGGATGCCCAATGGTGCCGCGAAGATGAATTGGCCACATCTATATCGGGTACGGAGGCGGCTGGAAGAGAACTGGACCAAGGGCCGTTTTACGAACTTTCAGCTGCCGCATCCAAATCACATGGAAGAATCTCATCAGGAGTGTGTATATGCGATTCAGTTTACCGATAAATGGCTGGTCAGTGGTAGCCGGGACAAGACTGTTCGAGTATGGGACCTGGACACCAAGCGGTTATGGCATCCGCCTCTTCAAGGCCACTCAAAGTCGGTTCTCTGTCTGCAGTTCGATCCCCGCCCTTCTGAAGATATCATCGTGTCGGGAAGCAGCGATAAGAATGTCATAATCTGGCGCTTTTCTACTGGAGAGAAGCTTCACGAGATTGCGCCAGCTCATGATGATTCTGTCCTAAACCTCCGGTTCGACGAACGCTATATAGTAACTTGCTCCAAGGACAAACTTATCAAGATCTGGAACAGGCGCCAGCTTACACCAATGGACAAGGACTACCCCTCTGTTTTCCAGGGCTCTGGTGTCTCCTATCCCTCGTATATTGTTGACACAAGCGACATTCCCGCTTTTATCCTCGAGGCCGAAATTGCCAAAAACCACATTCGAACCTTGGCGCCATATTCGTTACTAATGATCCTTGACGGACACACTGCCGCAGTGAATGCTATCCAGCTCAACGAGGATGAAATCGTGTCCGCCTCGGGCGATCGCCTGATCAAGGTCTGGAACCTGCGCAACGGCGCGTGTCGGAAGACAATGATAGGCCACGAAAAGGGCATTGCATGCGTACAGTTTGACAGCAAACGCATCATCAGTGGAAGCAACGATGATACAGTTCGCATTTTCGACCACGCCTCCGGTGCCGAAGTGGCCTGCCTGCACGGGCACGCCAACCTCGTTCGGACAGTCCAAGCTGGTTTCGGAGACCCACCGGGTGCAGAGGAGGCCTTGCGACTGGAAGCTCTGGCTGTCGACAACGAGTTTCGTGATGCTCAGCGCACCGGTGCAAACGTTGACCTCGGCCCTAGTGCCCTCCGGCGCGCCGGATATCAACAGAACACCAACGGGTCCCGGAACCCAAGAGACATCAAAGCCCTGGGTGCCAAAATCCCCCCGGGTGGAGGCGGGAGCCAATGGGGACGAATCGTCTCCGGCTCATACGACGAAACCATCATCATCTGGAAGAAGGACAACGAAGGCCGCTGGGTTGTAGGCCAGCGACTCCGACAGGCAGACGCCGCCGCCAATGCCTCATACAGCCATCTAGATTCCTCTGCACGCCAGACAATCGCACGAGCCAACGCCTTTGCTCAAGCGCACCAGGCGCAACAAGCCCAAGCTACCATGGCGGCCGCCGCGGCGGCCGCTGCGATATCAACAGGCGGTGGAGCACCGCAGCAACCACAACCACCACGTTTGCCTACCAACAACTCCAACACCAACGATCCCTCCTCGCAAAATGCACACTGGCCCGCGCACCTAGCCCTGAATCCGGCCCTCCTCATCCCCAACAACCTCCCACCCACCGTCCAGCCAAGCACACCTCACACTCACGCTCAAGCTCAAGGTCAAGCACCCGCACCCATCATGCATGCCGGCACCCCAATGAGACCACCACCACTACCACCCCATGCTCAGCAACATCAACAACAGCAACAACACCCCCGAGTGAGAGCCTTTCCCGCCGCCCCCCAACAACCACCTACCTCAAGGATCTTCAAGCTCCAATTCGACGCGCACAAGATAATCTGCGCGAGTCAGGACCCGAGAATAGTCGGGTGGGACTTCACCGCTGATGATGAGGAACTGAAAGAAGCATGTCAATTCTTCACGGGGCTGTAACCACCTTACATTACTACTATCATCAGCGTACGGGGAAAGATGATTTGTGGTATAAGTGTTACCTCTTGGATCCAAGTTAAATTCCTTCCCAACATTCTTTCTTCTATTTATATATCTATTCTTGGTTTTCTCTTTGAAAATCTCGTCTACCTTTTCGATTTTCTTGTGCATTAGGAGCCTGTTTATTTTGAGTTTCTTTCTTTCTCTCTGTCTCTTTATATGATTGCCTTTGGGTGATTTGTCTATATTGCATGAGAATCATTTCGCTCTTCTTCTTGTGGAGACTTCATCTATGTGTCTGTCTCGTCAGGCCTTGTTGTGTTCTGTTCATAACTTTTATCTCTAGAGCATTTCGGCATTGGAGCGATGGAGTCGGTTGGTTCATGTCAGCAGAGACGAAATGACTACAGCTGTTGTTCGTTTATGACATTGATAATGACATTGCCAATAATGAAAACTTGAAGTATGCAGTCACATTCTACAGGCTAGCGCTAGTAATCTGGACAATAGAAGCAACCCCGTCGATGAAGGCGCGTCTTGCATATGGACCGTTTGGCGAGGGTTGAAGAACGAAGAAACGATCAAATGTATCTGGCGCACCTCCAGTCCGATAAATGTGCTACTGAAAGGACAGCCTCACATAAGTATGCAAGTTATGGTTCAAGCAATCATTGGTATATGATTCAGGCCGACATCGGGCTTGTGTCCGGGACGTTGCGAGAGGGAAACGTCTGAAGCGACCTCCAAACTCCTGAGAACCACTGTTGTAGGCTTTGCAACTGATTTGTCGGGACATTAGGATGCGAATGTTCTGCTGCATTCGATGAGAGATGGCTTCTCGCAGTGGCGTATGTGTCATTGGAGGTTGTATTCGAATGAAAGGCGGCGTCCTGCTCATTACGAGCCCCCATGCAGCAGGGAAACCAAGAGTTGACGCCACGCAGCGATTGTAGCCAAGGACGTGAGTTAAAGTTGGCGGGCTCACTTGCTTCCTGTGCGGTACAGACGGGTGGTGACTCCGTGGGTGCAAGATAGCATGTCGCAGAATCCCCCACGCTCTCAGTGCCTTGGGCATCGAGGGTTTCCATATGCCTGGGTATGCCTGGCATTTGCGAACGAGACGCACAGGTATAAAACGAGTCAGCCCTAGACGTAGGAAGAGAAGCATTTGCCGAGGCTGGCCGTTGAGAAGAAGATGTTAGAACTGGGCGAGGCAACGGTAGTAAGCTATTCAGGCCGATCTGTGGGCGATGTCTTCGCATGCGACTACCCGTGCCTGTGTTTACAGGATCGATGCTGTCAGTCTGGTCCTGTTTTGCATCTGAGAGTCTTGTGTTAATTTGTCCCTCTTGTGTAGCGCTGCTATCAACATCAACACCATATTCGCAAGTAGCTGAAATGGCAGTTCGGTGAAAGGGATGGTCCTCCAATCGTCTAGCCAAGTTCATGCCGTGACCACTCTGTCTATAAGGAAAGCGACCTTGGACCGCAGTACCATCTTCTGCCCTCGCCACAATATATGTCTGACGTCTAGGCTGCGGGGGAGGAGACGATGAAAAGCTGAGGAGCCTTCGTAGCATCCCTCCGTAAGATCCCGTTCTAGAGCCATCAGCAACGCGCCTACCCGCACGCCTAGGCGGGCTTGGACTCGACTGCTGTGTTCGCCCACTGGTAGTGGCAGAACGGACGGGGAATTGAGCAGTGTAGTAGACAGCTTCTCGAGTACCAAATGAAGGAAGTCCCGGGGGTGTGGGCGCTCTCGCTGGTGGAGGATAAGTGGGAAGTGCAGGGCTGACTGGTGAGTCAAGGTTACCCGGCCATTTAAACGTTCTCGAGGTATCATCTGCATCGTTGAGACTAACTGCCTTCCTGAAGTGCAACGTATCAAGGAGGTTCTGCTTCAGCGAGTCGTCTGCAGGTAAGGCTACAACCGCCTTCCCTTCATCTGTGGATAGCACACGGCTGTCCAATGCTAACTGGGGATGCCAACCAGGGGATTGTGTATTCTTTTCCGGACAATACTTTGGCTCACGGTCCGCCCGCTGGGGAGGATCCGTTGCTTCAGGCGCAAGGGGGACAAACATGGCCATATTGGCAGCGATCCTGCTATCCAGGTTGCCAGGAGATTGACATGCCGAGCCAAATTTCGAGCCGAGGTCTTCGGTGCCAGAGTCTGTCCGTAGGGCGTTGAAAATGGAACTCTCCTCACTCATCATTGATTCTGACAAGGTCGCTTTGCCTAATGGTGTGGCTTCTCCCAGCGGTTCCACCTCCGTTGCGGAGACTTCATCCTCGTCGGACGAGCCATGCTGAGCGACTGGGGGGCCCTGAGACTGAGTATCCATGATACCATGTAGGCAGGTCGTGCTGCAGGCCACGCTCACATTGACATGAAGATGAGGGTGGACTAGAGAACATGCCACAAGGACGACAGCGCCGTAAAGGATTGAGGGTCCATGGCACCTTCCCTAGATCGTGCAGCCCTGGAGGAAAGTACACAGCACAGTGAAGAAGGCATGGCCTTGTGTATAGCATTCAAATGAGCATTAGTAAGTAGTGAGAATCAGCGGACTGACCGACCGACAGAAATCAACTGCACGTGGTGCCATTGATGTTTTGAAAAATTCTCCGAAAAGAATGGTGATGAAGTTGAAGTGAACGGAGCAAGCAAAAAGGGGAAAAGACATGATTAGTCGCCTCTACTTCCCCATTTTTCCCTCACCTCAACTCACGTTGACTTCCTGACATTTCCTTTCTTTACAAGTAAGCATCCACAATGAATGATTGTTATGTGACTCCATAAAAGAAACAACTTGTACTGGGTGTGGAACGTGCGTGAGCGATGAGATTAAATGATTATGATTATTGATTAGATCCGAGCGCCAACCCCGGAAATGGAGTGAAACAGGAAAACGGGGCTGCTCCACTCCAAGGTTCAGTCCCTACGAACCACCTGGAAACCTTAGCATTTAGCAATATGCGGTCGGATATCCAAACTACCCACTACATTGGTAATGGATGATCATGGCCCATCAGTGGATATTGGACTAGTTTAACGCAAGATATAACTTGTCATTGTACCCTATTCTTTTTCTCAACTCTGGGATGTCTTTCATCGATCTGATTGATATCCGGCGCGGATGCAACATCCCCACCGCATGTGTCGAGGTGGTCGCGATGATTGTGATTGCGATGGGACGGTTTGGTTAAGTTAATTGACCCCCCAGTTGAAACAAATGAGAGTGCAGACAATACGATAAAGCTTCCTGACAAATAGCATTCACATCGACTGCCACCAATGACACACCCCCTCCCTGACCAAAGTTGGGGAATCAGCCGAGGTCGGATCGTCGACACCAAGAACAACGATGAAACCGGCCGTCATGAGACAAGACTATTCCAACCTCCTTTCCCAAAATTGAAGTAGCAGCAGTGCAACCCAACCATCGGTCCGCTTTATAAACCGTCTTGAAAATCTATGGACGCCATCGTGTCTTGGGAGCGAGGCTAGGATAATATTAAAGCCACGGCGCCCATCCGTTTAGTTGATTGCGGTGAACTTGATTAATTTAGTTGCCCTGTTCCCCCTCATTTGATGCTCCGCTCCTCGCCAGCTGGTCACGCAACCCACCAGCTAACTAGCTGTTAAGCTGTTGTTGTCGTTGTCTTCTCATGGACTCCAGGGCACCCCAGGATTCGGCAGATTTGCACCATGGCTCTGCCACTACTGCTCCAGCAGAGCTGCCTCCGTCGGGCCCGGTCTACAAGGTCTACAAGCGGCGGTTCTGGGGACTGGCGCAGCTGGTGCTGTTGAACATTGTCGTTAGTTGGAATGTAGGTTCTCTTATGTCTGTCGCCATGAAGAATGAGACACCGATTCTAAAATTATCTATCATTATCATCGTCTAGTGGTTAACCTTTTCATCGATATCAACTACTGCGGCTGAGCATTTTCGCGTTTCTGAAAGCGCCATCAATTGGATGAGCACTGGTTACCTCTTCGCTTTCTGTGTCGCCAGCCCGTGAGTTTAGCCCTGGATGCTTATCTCCCCCTGTCTTCGGCTCCTGGAAGCGACTGAAACTCACGCTCAATCCTACTCTCAGCGTCGTGATCTTCACTCTCAATAAAGGTGGCCCTAAACCCGCCATCATCACCACTTCAACCCTCCTCCTCGTCGGCAATTGGATTCGATATGCAGGGACCAAAGCGAGAGGAGGCATCTTCGGTGTCGCCATGTTTGGTCAGATCCTCATCGGACTGGCGCAGCCATTCTGTCTGAGCGCTCCAACGCGATACAGCGACCTCTGGTTTTCTGACCAGGGCCGGACGAGCGCAACGGCCGTAGCTACCCTGGCCAATCCCTTGGGTGCAGCATTGGGAGAGCTGATCGACTCTGTCTGGGCGACCAAACCAAGCGAAGTCCCGAACATGGTTCTATACATCTCTGTAATCGTAAGCCTCCCTCAGAATCCTTCCACCACATAGATAGAACCAACCCCAGCCAGCCATGACATGTCGCACTCACCTACTAACAAAACCCAAAAGGCAACGGTAGCAGCACTTCCCTCATTTTTCATTCCCTCCCAACCCCCGACACCTCCAAGCGCTTCATCTGCGAGCACCATCGCCTCCACGCCACTCCTCCCAGCCATAACCCAACTCCTCAGAACCCTCGAGTTCTACCTCATCCTTATCCCCTTCTCCATATACGTTGGCTTCTTCAACAGCGTCTCCTCGCTCCTCAACCAAATCCTCGAACCCTACTCATACACCGAAACCGAAGCCGGCATTGCAGGAGGCCTTCTAATCATCGTTGGACTCATCGCCTCAGCCATCATCTCCCCCCTCACAGACCGCTACAAGCACTACCTCGCCACCATCCGCATACTTGTCCCCATCGTAGCAATCACCTATATCGCTCTGATCTTTGCCCCGCCCAGCCCCGCCGGCATCGCACCATCGTATGTCGTGTGCTCCCTCCTCGGCGCTTCCTCCTTCGCCCTCCTCCCCGTCGTTCTGGAGTACCTGGTAGAGATCACGTACCCTTTCTCCCCGGAGATTGGAAGCACGATCTGCTGGACGGGTGGGCAGTTACTGGGCGCGGTATTCATTCTAGTTCAGGATGCCTTGAAGGCCGGAGAGGACGCTTCTCCGCCGGTCAATATGCAGAATGCGTTGATTTTCTCTGCTGTCGCGGCGGTCGTAGCTGCGCCGTGGCCGCTTTGTATTGGATGTTTTGGTCGTGATGTGAGGAGAAGGAGACTGGATGTTGATCGAGGCGTGGAGCTGGGTCAGGAGGAGGAGGAGGAGGCTGGTGAGGTGCAAGGTGATGATGATGCGGAGCGTAGAGCTGGAGCTGGGGAGAATGATACTAAGAAAGGATTCTTGGGGTTGAGTGTGGCGTGGAGGAAGTAATCCTGAAATCCTATAGTCAGTGTGTTACAGAATGTACTTTGTGATTAATGATTTGCACGTGTGATACCCGGCGTCCATCAAATGTGTCAATACCAGGACCTGTGACTGTAAATAAAAGATCACAAGGGGAAACAAGAAAGACAGAGAAGATATACCGAACAAAGTCTAGGACAAAATGACATTCATCTAGTAAACAAAAGGGAAAAAAAATAAAAATAAATAATAAAAGCACAAGTTTCAAACAAGGCAGAGACCAGCTATCTGTACATACACAGTTGAAGGCGACCGCCCCCCTTCTTAAGAACCATTTCCATATTTCCATAGCCATCCATCTTTCATAGGGAGAAGGAAAGTAACAAACACGCATGTATCATCTCATCACCGACTCGCAACCCGTACCGTATTTGTCGAGGGCGGGTAGCGGTCGAGAGAGACAACACTGGATGTATGTATGCTCCTTTCTTTTTTCTTTTTTTTGATCTTCATCAACGGCAGGCCCGCATAGCCATCATCTGGTGAATCAAATCAAGGGGGATCGATCGTAATATGCCTTTCTTTCTTTGTCTTCCTTCGTCGCGGATCCTAGTCTTATCAAGTTTGGTCGTGCATTAGAAAAAAACGTAGCCCGCGGAGTGGAGTAAAGAAGATAAGAAAAAAAGACGTCTTTAGCTATCTATCGATCGACCGAGAGTGATTTGATTCGTTTATTTGAGGGCCTTCCAGAGCTTGGGGGCGGCGCACTGGGTAGCGCAGTGCGTGAGGTGGAAGACTAAAAAGGATGGTGGGTTAGTTTATGGGTTTTGTTGTCGGGTTCGTCATGACGTGAGATATGGTGTCTAAGGAATTGTGGTGTTAACGGTGTGCTGGTCAACTTACACTCCTCAACGCAGTCCTCCTTGGGGCCCTTGTAGTCGGGGTCCTCCTGCTGCTGGGTTACGCGCTCGACGCACTCATCGAAGTGGTGCTTGTAGGGGGCGCACTGGGAAGAGTTGGCGCACTCTGAGAGAAGCAATTGATTAGTGAATGTTCGAATGGATGAGGTTATTTGTAATGGGATGAGTTGTTCCGAGTCAATGGCTCAGAATCGCATGACGTGAGGGTCGGTCAGCGTGCATCCATCTGACCGACTATCCGTCCTGTTGTCACATTGTCCGTCTGGAAACGAACTCCTCCCCCAAGGAAAATGCACGGAATAAGTGAAACATGAAAGTGGCAGTAAACTTACCCTCCTCAAGCTGGGGCTTGATGTCCTCAGGCTCCTCCTCTTCCTCCTCTTCCTCTTCCTCCTCTTCTTCCTCCTCCTCAGCGGGCTCCTCCTCGGCGGACTCCTCCTCAGCAGGGGTCTCCTCAGCAGACTCCTCGGTGCTCTCCTCGGCGGCAGGGGCGGCCTCCTCCTCGTTGTTCACGGCGGGCTTCTCCTCAGCCTCGGTCTCCTGGCTGGGGGTGGTGGTGGTGGTGGTCTCCTCGGCGGGAGCCTCAGCCTGAGCCTCGGGGAAGCCGAAGGAGGACATAACGTCGGAGAAGAAGTCGGAGAGACCCATCTTGTCTTTGAAATTGGTTTCAATTGAGGGAAGAGGGCGAGAAGGGGGGAGCGTGTGGGCGGTGGATGTCGCGGTAATCGAGGATGGGGTTGGTTTTAACGAACTCGAAGCTTTGGCGTTGCTGGTTTCTGCCGGCCCTGGAAAATCGGAACACCCCGGCCGCCGGGCGATGGTCGCAATTATCGTACACGTGATTGGCCGCTCGGGTCGGCCGTGACTAATGCGGTAATATTTCGTTTTCTTACTATCAACTTAATTAATTCGTTGGTTAATGTTCGTGCCGTTCCGTTGTTGTTGTTACTTTTAACTACTGGGTCTACTATTTGTGATGCACTGTATTTCAACAATAAAATTCCAAGTAGTATACAGTAAAAAAAAGATTAAGAGGCCGCTTGGGCTTGAGGCTACCGCCGGAATATGTGTGTAGGAAATTGGAGACTAATCTAGTCATGGAAGAAAGCATTGGATACGGCACCCGTCCTGGCTTCAACTGGCTCGACGCAGTCTCTCCTCGAGCGCTTCCGCCACACTCTGCTGCTGCACCTCTTCGTAATCCGGTGGTGGCTCCATCGGCTCCGATCCCGCCTCTGGCCCTGTGTGTTGAGACTGTGGGCTTACAGGTTGCTGTGCGGTATTGTGGTCTGCTCCGGTTGTGCCACCTGATGGGCCGGTGTACGCAGGTAGCTCGTCGAGATGGATCGCAGACATGTCGACATTTCGGGCACCTCGACTGCTCGCCTGGGTATTCTCGACAGCTTGTTGTAGACGCTCTTTGATTCTTTCGAAATTGTTGTGGAAATCAAACGCCCCTCCCTCTTTAAATGTCACCTTGAGCTGCACAGCGGGCAACGACGCAGGGATGCCTCCTCCAGATACCGGCTGGACTAGAGCCATCCAGGCATTGGGCCCAAAGAATGGTGCAGTGACATGGGCGTCATGTACATTGAGTAATGGTGTGGAAAACGATTGAAACTCTTTCGTTTGTTGCGCGGGAATGTAAATGATCTGGCATGGTTATGTTAACGAGAGCTTGTCAGATGATAGGGTCCAAAAGCAAGACAGTACCCTCTGATTTGTCAGGTAGACTCGACCGGCACTGCTTTGCATGGAAAAAGAATCCTTGCCGGAGTTAGAGCCTAGGGGTTGCAGCGACAGAGTTGTCCGCGGAGGAGAGGCGAACAACTGATGCTCATTGGGTAGTCGAACAAAGCCTTCGGGGCCTTGCAGCATCACCCAGCTGTTGTATTGAGTATTGTCATTAGCAGGGATCCTTCAGCGTGCTATACCCATCCTAGGTTGAAACAAGTATACAACGCAGGTCTTCTGACTGATAAGTGTGCATGCTAGGATGTCATGGGATGAAGCGAGAGAGACAAAAAGAAAAGGAAGTTGATTCATCTGATACAGCATAACAGAGATAAAAAATCAGAGGTGATGAATCGAGGAAGAAGAACCATGGATACTGAGTGCATGCAGAGCGATAGTAAGAGTAACTTCAACTGGGCATGGTGGGGGAACATCTACATACTTGATCGACATCTTGTCAAAGCCACGATCAAGAACGTGGTCTGTGTGGCTGAGTGCAGACTGCGCCGGGATGCAGGCTAGATATTGTGGGATTCAACTAGTATATTGTTCGAGGATGAGTTACTGGAGGGATGAATTCAGAGTGCAGGTTGAAGAGAGGGCAGCATTGGCTGAAACAACCCAACCAATGAGTAGCACCAGGGTCTAGTTTCAGGTGAGACGATCCAGGGATGATTGGCGGGACGGAAATGATGAGAATTTTCCAAGGGTTGGTGAATGGTTTTCCGATCGCTGATAGAGCGACCTCAGACAAAAGAATGTCAGATGTGGTATTCCAGATTCCACTTCGTTGATGGCGGCGAAGCACCCGAAAGTGGCACTGATGGGAAGTGAGGCGATAGCAGCTAGTAACTGCAGCGGACCACTTTCGTATAACGGCAGAATAGTTGAGTGATATCTTTTCTTCTATTTGTGTGGTAATGGTATTCGATGGAGCAACAGACCTCCTAGAGGGTTTTAAACGATGCCCAGGAATTTCTGAAGGAAAGCAAGCCAGTGAAGCCCGGAGGGGCGGGAGACGAAGCAGTCCGCGGGGCGGCCGTCAGGCGGGGAAGCTTTTTCCAACTCTCCAACTCCTTACACTCAAGGTGTCTCGGTTCGAGCGGCTGGCCAGTTCGGACTTCTCTTCAACATGTCGGATGACATACAGAAGGAGCCTTCATATTGGCGCCGAATCTATCCAGAGAGGGTTGGGAACGCAGAAGGATTCGAACATCCAAATTGCAATCCTTATTAGGCCAAATTCGGCTTCCTTCTTTCCGGCCTTATCTTATTCTTACCATGGATGAACTAACTAGGGACTACTGCGTCCACTCGCATACTTCCTGTGCCCCCTCGCCCGGAAACCCAATCATTCCCGCATGCGATATAGTGCCTTGATTACAATTGGATGAATGGCAGAGTGGATGTCAGTCTAGCAATTAGTACCCAACAGGATGATTAAGCTAACACAGAAGTTCATAGTTATCTGTGGATGGAAGCCTGCATACTCTACCCTGGTGCCGACGTCCACGGATCTCAAAAGTCGATCATTTGCAGCAACTCTATCAATACGCTCATGCAGGATTCAGGGATATGGACATGTATCATTAAATCAAAGCAGTATTAGCGATTTCGTTTGCTAGGTAGATAACACGGACCTCTCGTGTCTCCTGAGGCGGAAGACTAATCGGTGGTTGGACGCATGGACACTATCGGCACGGTCAGATATAGTTACTTGAATAGCTAGCTAGCCAACTCTTCGGAGATATTGTTCCTTGGACTAAGCAACTTAACAGTTCTGCACCAACGCTTTGTGTATGACCAGAGATAGACGTACGATCCCAGGGGTTTCGAATAAGCTACGCACTCCCTAGCAACGACTATTCGCAAACAATCCTATTAGGCAACATGGAATGACTCGACATTCTGTGGAATCCCCTACTAAGTCTAACCATATTGAAGGAGCTTGACTGACTCCTTGCATCAAAATGGTACGTAACAGTCAAAAAGACGAGGATGGGTGGCGCTAATGTACGAAGCTAATCTGGATCCAGAGGGCTGTCCTCGAACAGAGGGTGACAAGGACGAAAGCCACCCATGCTTATTGCTAGAGTTATTTCGATTCAGCCCGAACCATTGAGATACACTTCTCTCCTGATATCTGCCAGCGTGGCTGTCATGCAAGTTCACAAAGCGATGGCAGGTGTTCGGTTTGGTCGAAGCTTGTCAGCTGACAAGAAAACAGTGGCTGCATGTGGCACAAAGGAATTTTTTATCTCGCGTGTCGCTGTGCAATTTTAAACACCATCTCTCTATATAAGCTTCTCCGATGACATTCTTTTCCTGATTGTTCGGGGAGGCAGCAAAAGGCATCCTCAGGCATGGTCCGGGCCAGGCTGGGGAGCAGCTCAAAGGCCGCGGTTACGTTGAGAGCTGTTATTGGGTCTTTACACGTGGAGAAAACCGTCCGATCAAAGTCACGGCCGACCCACCCCGTCTTCCATCCAGGTTACGTTCCCCCCTTCTGCGCTATTTCGTTTGCCTCTTCGCTCGTTGTCACCGCTTTCTGCGACTTCAATTCCCTCGTGGTTTATTTTGTGGTATTCTGTCACTCCTTGAGGGTTCGCCGAACCGACGATCCCCGTTACCTCCGGGTGACGATCGAACGCGAACAAAAAAAAAGAACAGTGTAGCCTGATGAGCACGGCCCTACCGGGCACATCTCCAAGCTTACATTACCCTTACTACACCTCTGGTGGCCGTCATCTCCTTCGTATTTGCTCTCCAGTTTAATAGGGTGTGGCTGCTTGAGTCCACTTGTCAGGATTTTGAGATACTGCATGGTGCATCGCCCCTGCACTACACTCACGCCCCCCCGTCTTGCATCGTGAAACCTCCGCTTCTCTCGCAGCCTTCCACAAATCAGCCCTTTTCGACTCGGAAAAGCTTGTTATACTCTGAAATATACGCACAATCAGTCAATATGTCGACATCGATACACTTGTCGAGGTTCCGGAAATGGCTCCTTGCTTCGCCGCCAATCGAGTTTGCCATTGAGCAACTCCGGGACCTCTTGGTTGGAGCAATCCGACAGGGTCCAGTTCCACAACATATTGCGTTTGTCATGGATGGTAACCGGAGGTTTGCCCGAACGCACGGGATCGAAACGGTGGAAGGACACAACATGGGGTTTGAGGCTTTGGCAAGGGTGAGTCCGATGGAGTTCGGTTCATAAGAGAACTTCTGTCTTCCGCCAGTGTCAGCTGCTAACTTCTACTGTGGCTTAGATTCTCGAAGTCTGTTACAAGAGCGGTGTTAAAGTAGTTACAATCTACGCCTTCAGCATCGAAAACTTCAAACGCTCCAAATTCGAGGTGGATGCACTGATGGAGATGGCCAGGGTGAAGTTGTCGCAGATGGCTCAGCATGGCGAGATCCTCGATCGCTATGGGGCCAAGGTGCGGATATTGGGCCGGCTGGACTTGCTCAGGCCGGATGTTCTCGCTGCAGTGAACCGGGCCGTGGAAATGACCAGCAACAATGGTGACTGCGTATTAAACATCTGTTTCCCGTATACATCGCGCGATGAGATCACCACGGCTGTCCGAGATACCGTGGCCGAGTACAGCCAGCCCCTTCCGTCGACTCGTCCGTCCTCCATTTCCTCGAGGACTCCCTTTTCCGAATCCCACATTACACAAAACATTCGAGCACAGACGCAGGTTTCGAAAGGGGAAGAGGTACCGAGTGACTCGGAAGCGGCATCAGAGTCATCAGGAGACGGCGAAACGACGAAGCACAAGACACCGAACGGAGTCTATGAAAACGGATCTTCGTTTTCTTCCTCGTCGACTCTCCACCTCGCCGGGCAACAAGATGCTGCCAATGGGAAAGTACCCGCAGCAGAGCCCGCCGTCGGGAAGGAGAGCCTCGTCTTTATGTCCCCCGAGACGATTACGCGCCAGACGTTGTCAGAGCATTTATTCACCCATGACAATCCTCCTCTAGATCTGCTGGTCCGGACGTCTGGAGTTGAGCGCCTTAGTGACTTCATGCTTTGGCAATGCCACGAGGATACGGAGATTGTCTTCCTCGACGTCCTATGGCCGGAATTTGACCTTTGGCAGTTCCTGCCCGTCATGCTGAGATGGCAGCGTCGAATCTCCAAGTCAAAGAAGAACCCGGATGCGGAGGGCAACTTTGACGGCGATACGTCTGACTTTGCGGAGGAAAGTAATGGCAAGGTCAAAGACCTGTAGATTGTTATGTTCACTTTTTTCCTTTTTCTGTTGTTGTATACATGGACTGGGTTACCGTCCTGGCATCGATCATTGGGAGTTTTGGAGTCATCCTTGGGAGCATTGACAAATATTCCCCCATCCTGTCATCCATCTAGAATTTATAGCACTCACTGAGCTGAAAGCTGAAAAGAAAAGGGTTCCATGATGAGCATATAGATGCAGACATTAGCACATAATCTATAGTTTTTATACTCTACGGGACAGCATCTCCACCTCGGGGAATCACGGATCATGTAAAATAATCAGATAAATTAGAAATTGTCCGCTATCGCAGCCTCCGATACCGCATCCGATCAAGTGGGCAGCCCCACGTGACTCACACTGGCGGGGGAATCGAAGCAACCACTCGCAACACTTGACTCAACTTTATTTCCTCTCCTGATATTGTTTTCTTCCTGTTTTCCCAATCTAATACCCTGATATCTTTCCAATTGTCATCATGCCTGTCGCCGGTTCCAAGGTTCTCCTGTTGGGTTCGGGCTTCGGTATGTCTCCCATCTCTCTTCCACTTCCCCCCTCCTGATCCGCCGATTCGGACCCCGCATTGGGGGTCAATTGTTGGACTCCATCCCAACTGACTCAATGTCTCGATAGTCACGAAGCCCACCGTTGAGGTTCTCAGCAAGGCTGACGTTAACGTCACCGTTGGTACGTACAGCTCAATTGATAGAGTTCTCCCCATCCAGTAGCGCCCAACCATAGCTGACCATCGTCTACTATACCCCAACAGCCTGCAGAACCCTCGAGAGTGCTCAGAAGCTCTGCGAAGGCTTCAAGAACACCAAGGCCATCTCCCTCGATGTCACCGACGATGCTGCTCTCGACAAGGCTCTGGAGCAGGTTGACCTCGCCATCTCCCTGATCCCCTACACCTTCCACGCCAATGTCATCAAGTCCGCCATCCGCACCAAGAAGCACGTCGTCACCACCTCCTACGTCTCCCCCGCCATGATGGAGCTGGATGAGGAGTGCAAGAAGGCCGGCATCACCGTCATGAACGAGATCGGTCTGGACCCTGTATGTCTACCTATCCACATCATCCCCATATCATACTACACAGTGAACTAACCCAACCTCCAAAAAGGGTATTGACCACCTCTACGCTGTCAAGACCATCTCCGAGGTACGTCCAGAATCACCCACCCTACCACCACCACTTCACCCAACCCTAACCCACCCCTTTAGGTCCACGCCGAAGGTGGCAAGATCACCTCTTTCCTCAGCTACTGCGGTGGCCTCCGTAAGTCATCCCCCACCCCCACCTCAACCTCCCCAAAAAGCG